CCAACTCTATTCCCTTGAAATTGGCCTGTGAACTACCCTGGTTTTGAGAGAGAAATGTTACTGGTGGTGGTGCTATTATATTGGTTGCTGTTATGTTATCCTTCTTCTGTTGTTATTACAACTTTTGGGTCACATTCCAGCTTTTCGATATGCTTCAGGACCTGGGTATAATGTGTTTCAAAGTATAGGAAAGGCTAAAAACGTGCAGTGCGATGTATTTCACCTTTGGTTGAGGGTTCCCTTTTGACAACCTTGTGGCCATATATTTGGCAAACTATAGCCATCATCTAAAAGGTTGTCAACTTCACTTATAATTGTTTGAACAGTTATCTGTGGCTTAGTAAATATGCAGCTAAAGGATGGCTGCTCTCTACTGTGAACTTCAAAGCTATTATCAGTTCAACATGATGTGAGTTGGTTTTTGGTTGCCTCTATAACAATATCAAGTTTTTGCTCCCTCCCTCCCTCCCTCCCTCTCTGTGGCTGGACTGTGTCTTCCTTCCTTCTTCACATCCAATGAAGCTCGATCAATAGGCTCGTACAAATTTCATGGCATTGAACGAATTCCCGGATTTTTTTCACAACTAAGAGTGAGCAAAACCGCACCATAACTGAAAAACCAAGCCGAACTGATGGGTTTCAATCATCTGTTGATTTGTTTTCATAATTCATATCTGTGCTGAAGCTTTGTCCTGCAATTTTTTCTTTTCAAACATATGTTGATTTGTTAATTTGTTTTCATAACTCACATCTCTGTTGAAGTCTTGAAGAGGTTCAGAAAATCCCCAATGTCTTGCACTCTTGCTACATCAAAGTCGGGCTGTGACGATTCTGATGAACGTCGATCGACATGCCTAATTTTTTTTACCCCCATTTTTTCATTATGTTGCTTTTTTTTTTAAAAAAAAAATATGTTTTTGATAAGGGCTGTTGGAACTAATACTTGGATTTTTTGTCTTTTTTTTTTTTTTTTTTCTTTTGCATCTTTGTTGCGATTATCCAGAAAAAAATCGAACTGAAGTAAAAAAATATCGGTTCAGCTTTGGTCTGGATTTTCCTTTCTTGCGATGCAGTTCGGTTTTGAACCGAACCGCACCTCACCCCTATTCACAACTAGGGGTAGCATCAGTCCAGTGGATTATCAAGCCGAATTGAATATTTCGATAACACCAAATGCTAAAACAAACCAAACCGATTTGTAGTCGGTTATCGAGTTTTCGATAATCGAAAAATCAGTTCGGCCTGGTTTGGGTAATTTATTGAAATTGCTGAATCGCCGCATCAACTAGAGCTTGAAGTGCCTAAGCAAGGAAGAAGAAACCGAGGCAAGTGTGAGAATTAGGGATTTTATATTTAGTTTTTGTGAGAATTTAGAATAGACTTGTTTTGGATTAGATTGGAGAGTTGAGAGAAAATCCAAAATGATAATAGTAGAGAATTGAGAAGCTAACGAGATTGCACATCTTTTAGTGATTGCAAAGGCTCTCTTAAATAAGCCAAATTCTAAAATTGATGTATATATTTGTTACTTCTTGAACAAAAGTATAAGTTCCGTTTGGTAAAACTGAACTACTTTGAAACGAAAATAGATTTCGACCAATGTATAATTGGTAACAGATACTCCTTCCTATTTTTTTAAATGTCATTCTAGCTTTATTAACTATTTGTCAAATAAATGTCGTTTTGAATCTTTTCTACATATTTTTTCATTAATACCCTCATTTAGTAATAAATACATTACGCCTTTTTATATTCACTCTTCACTTTTTCTCAAAATATTCATCTCTATCTTCATTAAATAAGGTTATTATTGACAAAAAAAAATATTCTTAATTAACGTGCAACTTCTCAAAACGACATATATTAAAAATAGGAGGTAGTAGTAAGTTACCTCGTGAAAAGAATTTTTTTTCGGTTCGGATATTAAGTTACCTCGTGGAAAGAAATTTTTTTGGGTTAAGTATCGTATCGGGTTTTGGTTACAACTCCGGATTTGAAAATTAAGAATTGTTGGTGTTTTGGAAATTTTATAATGAATTAAGAAATTAAGCTGTAATCTGACAATTCTCCAATCATTTAAATTTATATTTAAAATCATAATCATCCATAGTTGATCTACTCCACACATATTTGATAATTTTCTTATTCTCTCGTACAAAACTTCAACAAGCAACTATATTTCATTAATTTCATTTCATATCAAAATGATTTCATTAATTTTCCTACATTTTTTTTTTTTTTTCATTTTTTTGACATTCAAATCACCATTATAGGTCTCAGTTTCTTGCGGTTGAAGCTTTTATTTGAGGGAGATGCTACAAGCTTGTTACGAAATTATTTTGTCAAGATTTATAATTGTCAGATCAACTATCATTGACGATTTAATGGTTACAAATAGTTTGAACAGAACTGGTTCTTTTACTTAGTATTCAAACTCATTTATTAACCAACTTGTTCGCAAATAGTTGGATTTTTTTTAATTTTTTTTTTTTTGTGTGTCTTGTTTGATAAGTTTTAAATGAAACTGGCTGAGGTAAACTTATTCCTAAATAAATATTTTATTTTCAAGAACAATTTATTTCACTAGTTAGTTAGTTAATCAAACAAACATTTTTGCTCAATTTTGCCCCTTTTATTTCGTTAATCTTCAAAATCCTTTTCATCAACACCATTCGCCAATTAACCAGAAAACGTAGCAGCAGAAATCTTTTGCTCATGGAGCAAACGAAAGGCACGAAATGAGGACAGGAAAATAAAATTCATAAAAAAAAAAATAAAAAAAATCGGATCTTTAGCACAAGACTCTGTGCGGAGACGGCGAGACCCAGTGAATGGGGAGATGGGGAGCTGCCCTTATACTCTCCACTATCAAATCTGCCTCCAAATCGACTAAAATCCCTAAAATAGGCGGAACCCATTTTCGAGAATCCCCAAATTCATCACCAATTTCGAATTATTTACAGCGTTTCAGGTCATTTTCTGCCCTCCCATCGCCCTCGCCGTCGCCGGACTTCGCTGAAGAATTTGATCTCAGGTTACATGGTTTCGATCAGAACAACATTGTGGAGGAGGAGGAGGAACCTACGGAGGATGATGCTGTTGGGAAAATCCCAGTTAAAGCTTTTTTTATATGCACCAGGTTATTTGCAGCTT